TGCTAACAGAAGCTGGAATTCTGTATCAATCTTGTACAGGTCAGAATTGGAAAATTGTTCATCTGAGCCTTTGTAATCTGCAAATATTAATATTTTAACCACACCTGGCATATCTAGAGCTTCTGCTAGTAACAATGTTCCTTCAATAAAAAATTCTCAAACAACGCTAGATATTTACGTTAGAGTAAAACATGCACGCTAACAAGAGATTAATGCCCATCAAACCTCAAGCTCTCGTAGCTGGATGCCCATCAAACCTCAAACTGTCATAGCTGGATCCACCGTAAAACTCCAGCAAATTTGAGTTATACAAACTGATCCAGTCACAGATATCTGGTCTACAATAAGGACCCTGGCAGAAGTTAAGTTTAGGATGTGATTAATCATGTCTGAAGTAGGAACTCGGACACACATTCATGCAATTAATGGGAATAAGCCTAAGGGTTCAACTGGTGCCTATACTACTTCATGTAAGACACTGGGGAGGAATTCTTATAAAACTCTACTATGACCAGGCCATGATGAACTTTCTGGGAAGTATAAAAGGAGTAGTGTAAAAGGAAGTAAAGGAAAGAAGTAAAAGGAAAGTAGTGTCCCAGTTTCTGCACTTTTTGTTGGCCAAATTATCTGCTGCTCCAACACCAGAATTATGCCAGCAGGAAAATTTCATTCCAATATTCTCTTGTTTTTAATTTAAAACATGAAAAATAAGTGTCAGAGAGATGCTGCTCATTGACGGCAGTTTCTAAGTATTTTTATCATTAGTACAAAATGGCCTCTCAAAATATTCCATCCTGCTAGTTGAAGAGATTTTTCTTTTCAATAAACCTGTAAAATCTCATTTTATTTTGTTCCTTTTTCCGTTAACACACTGTATTTCTAACATGCCATCATTACAAACCATATCAAAATAACATATGGAGAGGATGATGCACTGAAATGCATATTCTTTCACAGCTTTCAAAACCAATTCTAACTGTCTTAATTGATGGAAAACACAGCAAAGAATGTTTTTAATGAAGTTCATGAGCTATGGTACAGTGAAAAAAGTAGCTCACTCAAAGTCAGTCTCTTCCTGTCTTCTGATATTCTCTTCCCTGTTAACACAACTGATACTTTAAAGCTGTTTAATCACATGAACACAGAAGCATAAAATTGCTATCGAGTAATACTAGTAGGATGGATGCTGTCAGATTAATCTCTATTTCTTGGATATTGTATTACTGGTAATTTTTTCCTACATAAAAAGTTAACCTTCATTATGCAGAATCATATTAAATTAGGGGTGGAAGGGACCTCAGGAGGTCATTTAGTCCAGCCCCCTGTTCAAAGCAAGACCACCCTCAACTAGATCATTCCAGCTAGGGCTTTATCAAGCCAGGCCTTAAAAACCTACAAGGATGGAGATTCCACCACCTCTCTAGGTAATCCATTCCAATCCTTCACCACCATCCTAGTGAGAAAGTTTTTCCTAATATCCAACCTAAACCTCCCTTGCTGCACCTTGAGACCATTGCTGCTTGTTCTGTCATCTCTCTTGTATGCAATGACTTTTGTTCACATACTAACTTGCAGGAGCTGAATGATCCACCTTATACAACATGCTGACAATCAAACTTGCTTCATAAATGAAAATCACACATGAACAGAAAAAAATATGAGATTTCAATAAAACCCACTGCTTTTCAAACTCAGGAACTGCCACCGTGAGAACATTTCAGCAAATTCACCCTGAAATGAATAAAAACCTAATGGGGACACCTGCTTGATCAGTGGAACACCTGCCATCCCATCATTTCCTTAGGCCCCATTCTCAATTTGCTCCTCTGCACCTGTTTCAGGCAACTTTCTTCCTCCAACAGACAATAGCTCCCTCTCCTGATTTACCTCTGGTGGACAATAGCTTCCTCTCCTGAACTACCTCCGGTGGGTCCAGCTTCTTTCTGGGTGCTTCTACACGTTTATTCATGTGCTGTAATTATGGCACATTAAGTTTTGTACCTGTGGGCATTTATGCACTTACATTTCGTGCCCGGACGCACCAGAATGCACTTGTGGTTTTTTAGAGGGCATTTTTACACATGCAAGCATTTTTAAAGGGCATTTTTACACATTGGAAGGCATTTTTACACATGCAAGTGTCGCAGAACAGGGCGCGTTGAAAAGCGCCTGGTGCTGCATCGCTTGCAGCTGTATAAGCGGTGAAATGTGCGTCAGTGTGGAGAAAAGGGCAGCAGTGCACTTTTGAACTAAAACACCTGGTAAAAATGCCCTCTAATAACAGGTACTAAATGCACTGTAAATCAGCGCTACTGTGCATTAGTGTAGATGAACTCTTTTTAGGTGACACTTAAGGCCCATTGGACAAATCTACTGTGCATTAGTACATTAGCACAGTTTTTGCCAGCCATGCTAATGAGCAGTGGAATTAGTCTCAAAGGGCATTCAGCACCTTCTGTAGATGCGTCGCCCTCCAGGTGCCAGTTCAAGTTCAGTCTTCTGCTCAAAACATCTCTCTTTGCCTTGGGTAATTAAACCCCAGCTTAGAACCCTCCTACCCTTGCCTACATGCCCTCTTTCTAGGACAGTGTCCCAGACTATGGCAGAGCTCTCTTCCTTATCCCATTCTATCCCTAGATATTAACTCTTCCTAGTTTTAATTGTGCTTCAGGGCTCCTTTCTTATCACCTACCCAGCTTCATATTTGTTTCTCACCACCACTTAATACTCAACAGAAAGAAAGAAACAGTGAAAGCTTACTTCTCTGCTTGTCCAATGTACCTTTTGGAAACTCTTTTGGAGTAGCAGCCTCTATTGCAACAGCTGGAACTGCAGTCCAAAGCCAATAACTGTGCCTCCTACCTACAGCCTCTGGTGGCCACAGGATCAGCTCTACTGCAGGCAGAAATCTAGAGCTAACAGGAATCTCTCAGGAGGGGAAAAGTTTTATACTATAAAATCACAACACTTGTGAAAACTCAAGAGTCAACAGCACTGCAGATGTGTTCAGGGGCGGCCTGCTGCAAAAATGAATGAACATGACAAAACTGCCATTTACTATAGTTTGTATTATACCAGAGCTGTTTAACTGGCAGCCCATAAGAAGTTAATGCAGGCTCCTACCCAGTTACTGAAACCACCCCCATTATGCCTGTAGCAGCGGCCAAGGTCTCCGGGGTAGGCATCACAGTGGGAAGTCCAGTGAGCTTCCTGCCCATGAAACAGCTCTAGTGGGGATGCTCACACCAGCTGTTGTGGGGAGGGGGAAGACTCAACCACATGGTGGTGGCAGCAGTGCTGGGGAGTGGAGAACAGTAAAAAGGGGCTTGCATAGCAGGGGCACCAGAAAGTGGCACTACAGCGTGCCACTTGGTATGCAACCAATGCTGTGTGTGGAATATCTGGGGGGGTTATGGCAGATCACAAGCTGAGTATGACCAAACAGTGTGCTTTCGTTGCAAAAACAACCAACACATCCCGGCTGCATTAACAGTGTCATTTGCAAATCAAGGGAAGTGACCCTACTCAGCATGGATGAGGCCTCACCTGGAATACTACGTCCAGTCTCGGGCCCCACACTTTAAAAAAAGGCGTGGACAGTTTGAAAAGAGTCTGGCACAGGGCAACAAACAAAAACTAGTTTAAAAGATGGATCCTGATTAGCTTAGGAAATGAACTGTATGTCTTGGTTTCCTACAACAGCAAAGGACCAGACTTGATGATACAGGAGCTGCCTTCTAGTCCTACGCTCGTAGGTAACATTGAGATTTGACTTGAAATGTCCAGACTATTAATATTTGTGTTTATGGAAAAATGCAATGTCCCTTCAGAATTTTTTGGCTGAGGCAAGAGATTCTTTCCAACTTAGTGTCAGGTTAAATGTTATACTGATAGTACTCTAGTATTCACATTATTATACTAAATCCAACTGTTAGAATTTCAGACTAAAGAGTAATTTTATAATTCACATGTAAAAAAGGTTTTACACTGTTGCAATCCATTTCCAAATAAAATATCAACATACTAACAGTAAGACATGACTTAAGTTATATCCACATTACATAAAAGTGATATAAATACTAAAGCTGTTTCCCATGCCATCAGCCTGCAAATCCTGGGTATGATGAATGCTAAGCCACAGCCCAGAAGCAGATTTCTCTCTCTTTTGGATGTGCTCAGGGGATCAGAAGTAGTCTCATCATTACATATGTTAATGATGCATCACATCTATCAGCCTCAAGGCAGCATCTTTGGATTTATGTCCCTGACTCAAGGCAGAAGATCTTTTATTGATACATTGGACTGTAGTCAATATAGCTGATGATGACCTTTTGGAGATGAAATACCTGGAACTTCTGACAACATAGAAAAAAAATTATGAGACTAACCTAATACTGAGATTCTGGGGATGACTTCTGAGGATCTCTCACAGCCCTTTAGAAATCTTTCCATACAATCCTGATATGTTCTAATTTACTCTCATGAAATAATCAGGATCTAGTCAATGGACCTGGTTGCAAAATTCCTTATGCTAAAAATTTTTTGTCCTTACATGAAGATAATTCTAACATTACACTTTGTTTCCCTCCTCCTACTCTTTCACAATATGCATGAGTTTAATGTTTTCTTCTGAAGAACCTATGTTGTCTACTAAAATATTTCAGTAGATACCATAGGCAGAAAAGTAAAGAGAAAAGCTAGTACAAGATCTCTGAAAAAGGAGATCCAAGATCCCCACCTGCCAGTGGTTGGTAATTATATATATGTATGCACAGCTGGCCATACTGCCCCACACAAATGCTTCTGGGGGGAAATTACCAACTGATAACAGGGGGAGTAGATGGACCACAGAGTTGCCTCATTTTAAGCTTTCTCCCAAGGACCTGAACCAAAAGACTGGCATCCAGGGGAAGTGATGAATTACGCTCAAGGATGCATACTGTACTAGAATTCTGGACTATGGGATTGTTAGGTTCTATTTTTATTATCTTTTTACTTACCATATTCCTCTGGAATCTGCGTGCCAAAAAGCCCCAGGTTCTTCAGTCCCCGTAGCGTTTCTGGTGGGATTTTAGCATCTTGATCAATTCTCTTAGAGTCCACTGAAAATAGATGCAGTTTTTTAATTTAATGTATGACTGGCTACAGACAGTGTTCCTCTGTGCAGATGTACCTGAATCAGTAGGAAGCATGCTGACTGCAGCATTCTCATGCCTCAGCCAGCACTGTGGATTCAGGAACAGCAGCAGCATGACCTCTTTCCCAATCATGAGAGAACAAAACTTAAACTAATTAAAAAAAAAAAAGCACGAAGCTCACACCCTGCTTTCCCCACAAGAAATATTTTCCCATATTGTGTTAAAGTATGCGCAGCAGAGAGCCAGAATAAATTAGAGGTGCACCCATATATCAGTCCATATTGGATAGGCACCAATAAAAGGAAAACTGACATCATCAGCAAATGGCTTTTTTTGTCTGCTGCAACCAAAAATGTCACCAATAAATGCTATGTGTATGTGCACAGCCACAGCATGCATGCAGCCAGGACAGCAGTCCGGCAACTTGGAGAATAGCATCTTGCTGGTAAGTTTGTGGAGGGAAAGGGCATGGGGGGCATGTGCCCTACTCAGACTTGTGCATGGGGTAAGGACGGGCTGCCTGCTGTGGGCTTGGGGCAGGGCTTGGCCAGCCTCTTCCCAGCAGAGGGACTAGGTCAAGGGCAGGTGGGGGAGGGCTACAGCAAATTTTGGGGTGGCTATAAGTCACCCTGTAGCCCCTCTCCCAGTTCTGCCACTGCCTACCCCACCTCCCCAAGTGCAGCCCCAGCCCAGCCTCCCTGCTGGGAAGAGGCGGGCACAACCCCCAGCCTGCAGTCCGCCCTCACCCCGCACACAAATATGGGGGAGCACATGCCTCCTGTGCTTCCCCTGGGGGTCTGTGCAGCAGTGGGGACCTGGCACCCTGGACAAGCCACCCACAGCTCCACCCTATGCCCTGCCCCACCCTGGCTGGGCAGTGCTTACTCCTGCTCCTGTGCCAGGCCCACTCTCTCTCTCACCAGAGGCCTCAATCTGCACCCCCCCTACTCCCCATACACCCCCTCTCCCACAGACTTACCACTATTCTCCACACTGCCCAGCTGCATATGGACCATCAGATCAGTATCAGCTAAGATGGCTGGTTAATAAGCGGCCATCAATATCATCCGAAAAAATCTTTATCAGCGCACCCCTAGAATAAATATATGTTCCAGCCGACTGGCCATTAATTCAGGCTTCAGCAGAAGTAGATGTGCTTTACCTTTCTAGTTTCTACCAGCTTTTGCCTCATCCTTAATGGCTGTTGAAACCTTGGTCACCTCCCTTGCAGCTGAAGAAGTCTCAGCAATCCTTAAATATGGCCCCATAAGATTAAAGGTCACACTACCATACAATTTTATACCATCAATCTTAGCTGCAAGGTGGAAGACTCTGATGCTCTGTGTACTAAGGTTACTGCTACAGACAACATAGAAGTAAGTCCTCAGACGCATGTCAGAAGAACTGAGATTAGTAATATCTTCAAAGAAGCAGAAGTAAAGAGAGTCAATCCAGAGCACTGTAGTCCATAATGCAAGTCAGATATGTTTTATGTTCTGCTTCTTAAAGTAGCAATACTGTGAGAAAACTTGACCCAGGGGAACCGCTATGTCTGGCACTATCCTGGCTGAAAAGTGAAGGTGCTAAAAAGAAAGTAAGGAAGGAGGAACTGACTGGAAGTTTCCAAGGTCACTAACTACCTTCTAAACTGTGACACATGAAAAACATGTGAAGGAGGGACCAACCTTTATATTTTTTATTATATTATCATCATGGTCATCACTATTATTATTTCTATGCCAACTGATCATTTAGATGCATGCTACCATTGAACATTATTCTGCATGATGAAATTCTCTCTCAATTTCACTATGGGGTAAGGCAACATTTTCTAAGAATTTATTCCTGAACTGCTCCAAGCATTTTATTTCAGAAAACTTTAACTGGGTAGCTAGACTAAAACTGATCTAGTTTCTACCATACACAGATCCCTACAGTGTACTGAAAAGCAGCAGCAGCAACCCCCCAACAAACAAAAAAACACAACACAAATTGGATCAATTTTCTTTATCTGATGGCTCAGGAAAGCTATAACCTGAAGCAGAGGGATCAAAGCCACGTTTCTGAAAAACTTTCTTTAGAAGAAGACTAGCTCCACAGATGCAGATGACACTTGCCTAAAAAATAATTCTATTTTTCACAAATGAATTAATTTTACAAGCTCTCCATGGGACAGAAGGGGGCAACTATATGCTCTGATGTTTGGTCTGAAGAATAACACTAAGTGAGAAAAAAGTTAACAAGGTAATTCTTACTCCCCTATACAACATTCTTTTTGGCTACAAGGCACATCATATCAAGAGCATATCTGTAAGTATATGGTTGCCTGATTTGGAAAACTGTTTGTTCCCTTGCTTATTAGGGTGATGCAAACACATCAGCCTGGTGCATGAGAACTGCCAAGCTCCAGAGAAATTCTACTCAGCTGCGTCACACTGCTCTGCCAACCCCTATCAAGTTTCCCAGTATTTTGGAAACTTACCAGATTTGCTTTTCCTGTGTCAATATTATTCCTGAATATCTGATCAGAAATCAGAGACCACAAACAAAACTAAACAACTCCCACTGAGCTAGACCATGCAACCTGACTTTTTTCATTCCCCCATGATACATGAGCTTTTGTACTCACTAAAGAGAGGTTTTGTTTATTTATTTTAAAAGACAGCTTATTTTGCCCACCCCTGCTGTAAAGTCATAAAAAGTGAATGGAAAATTTGGAGCCAGATGTATGATTTGAAACTGCTTGAATGGCAT